ACACACACACACCCACAATATATTGTGTGTAAAGAACCTTTGAACTTTCGCTTATCGTGTTGTCTTTTGTTTGCTGGTGACTTCACGCACATTTGTTAATTTGTTTGCGGTCTCTCCGGCCCCTCATGCGACACCTATCTCCAGGACAATATACCGTAACACCGTACCCCGTACCCGCACCACTGGCTGGGGCAAGGCAGCCAGCATAGTCGAACCTCCTGACTCAAGTCTCAACTTTTGATGTAAGGGCATTGTGAAGGCATAAACTAAAATGTGGCCCACAGCATAGAGCAACGCCTTCACTCCCTGTCCCCTCCTGTATCCCTCGCATTGTTATAATTACGCGTAACTTTCGACAAGTGTCGCCTGAAAATCGCCAAACGTTCTCATTTCCAGAGAGTCCTCGACCGAGTCCAGGCTCCAACCAGGAGCGGTTCAAAGTGCTCTGGCTCTGGCTGGTGGCTACAAACGAGTCCGCTCTTGGTGGCCCGCTGCCAGCTGTGGTTTAATCTTCTTTTAAGTTGCGCCCCTTCGCCGAACGGGGGAGCCTAGAAAAAAGATGGCGACATCGTAAAGCAAAAAGTTTGCCGCCACTTGTGGGTTGATAACAAAGAACAAAGCAAAGTTGGGGCGACTCGACGAGGGTCTGCTGTAGGGGCTGGCGCTAAGTCTAGGGCTGGGCTAGGGCCAGTTCTTAGTCCTTAGCACAGCTTGAAAATAGTTGGAGTTTGTGAAAAGTCATTGTTACACTGCTGAAGAGAAGAGAGAAGCCCCTTTTGCCGTTCTCTCCTTTTTGCACTCTAATTAGTCGTCATTGGCTTGTGATTTGTGGGCGGACTTTGGGCAGTTGCGGCATTGAAGGACCGAGATCCGAATACCTGAAGGGGCTGGGCTGCCCAACTTTTCTCGCCACAAATTCAACTTGTAATTTTGTGCTGATTTTTGATTTACCACAGACCGGAAATTCCATATAAAATACACTGAGAACTACCAACTGATAGAGTGGTTGTGAATCAAATTTTGAGATTTTGTGGCAGGCTTATAATTATGACTAATAAAATAATACGAAAATCCGTTCCGCACAATCGTCGAACCTGCCATGTCTGTTGGTATTTCCCTCAGTGTAGAAACACCTTTGGCACGATAAATCTTAAACCACATCTGGCCGAGTCTCGACTCGGACTTGCTTTCTCTCTCATTAGTTGAACCAATTGCCATGCCATGCCAGTTCATATATGTATCGTTTATTCCAGCCCACAAGCGTTATAGAAGGCCGCAAATAATTTAAAGCCAAATGAGCTTGCCGCAATTTATGCTGACCACATTAACCATTTTTAGCCGAGTGAGGGCGAGCGGGAGAGTCCAAAAGGCCGACAAAGTATTTAATTAAATTAAGCACAAAGGAAAACACCGGCCACCAAGAAGCGAGTGTTGGGCAGACCTCGCTCCAGATGAAGTTGGCTTCTGTTTTTATGGGTTTGGCCTTTAAAGCAGTCGTAAATCATTTAAGGAAATGGCCAATGGTGGCCGTGGGGGTATGTGTGAGCTGGAGAGCTCAGAGAGAGACACAGAAATTGCCGCTAATGGCCAGTGGTTGCTCATTGTCCGAGCCGATCACGCCCGCCGTCCACTCGAAGCGCATTAAAATAGACTAAAATGTTCGGCGTTCGGACTGCCTTTATGGCCACTTAATGTAAAACAGTTAATTAGCAGCTCACACAGATACACACCCATACATCGTGTGGGGCCAGCGGGGGGGTAAAGAACAAGGGAAATGTCCAGCCTTAATGCAAAAGGCCGCCATTATTTTCCTTTTTTTCGCCTGTCGTTTCTTTCACGGCTTCTACTTCTTTTCCTCTGCTGCGTCTGGTGCTGCTGCTCCTGCTGCTGACGTTTGCCATCTTCACTGCGCCAGGTACAAATGAGGTTAGGGATGATGCGGGGGTCCGCATGTGAAAGGCGGAAAATTACTTTTGATTAATGAAGCGCAATGAGGCGTGCACAAAAAAAAATTAAATGAATATTATAAAAAAAAAGGAAAGGAAAGGAAATTCGAAGAAGAAACAGAAATCGAATGCCAAACTGGTATTCACTTTGAAAACTTTTTTGGTCACCTGTCAAGAATGACCTGCAAATGAAAGCCAAGCGGAAGTGTAAAATGCTCTGGGATAGACTTAATTTTAGCGTTTTCTTTAAGTATTTATAAAGCACAAATTTATCATAAACAGCATCCAAATTCGTTTAAGGAATAAGAAAACTGTAGTCCCTTCACATAGTTTTTGAATATAAATTCCAGGACACATTTTGTTTACAACAAATTCTTTCTGGGATATCTGCTAAAGTGTAAAAAAATAAAATTACTTCCGAATATTCCCATTCTTTTCAATTTTCATTCTCTCAGTTCAATAATCTTACGTTGCAAAGTCCTTATACCCCCAGCAAAGAGTATCGCAAAAAGATGTCAATCTCTTCTGCTGTCTCCCCGGCTCCACTTCATTCCACTGTTTCCCTCTGGCGCTTCCTGTTTATGGCAGGCAGAGCTACTGAGTAGCCCAGAATGTCATTGAGAAAATCACAAGCAAAAGAAAAAAGGTAAAAGTAAAAAGCAAAAATGAGGATGGTGAAAATTAACATACAGAATGACGCTTGACATGCCACGGACATTATTGTGTCGAACACCTTCGCCTGCAGTTTATATATTAATGCTGATGCAGTGTGGACACTTGGGAGGGATTGCAACTTTTCTTTTGGGAAACTTTTCGGCGCCCTGTCCTTTCCCTCCAGCTGTAATTACGATGATGGCCCCGATGGCCATCGAACGTGCCAGGACGTGACACAAAAGGACAAACCGAAACGAGATGCAATAATTTTTAACGTTTGTTTTGCTGTTTGGTTGAACGAAAATGCACACCTGACACTTTTATAATTACACTACTCGACAAAATCGAACTTTTTTTTTCCTCAAGGATCCAAACCGACTTTTTCTGATAGATATGGGGATTTAAAATTTTTTAAAGAATTATGGTTTTTTTTCTATGGCAGAACTTTTTTTTGAAGAATTTTTGAAGTCTGGTATTTTTTTTTTAGCTTTTTTCAGAGGTAGCGATAGTTTTTTCACATAACTTTAGTATCTTACGTCTGGTTGTAAAGAACTTTGCTATTTTGAAAAGATAATTAAAACAGCTAGAAGTTAACCCAAACACTTTGTGATTACAGCTTACCGTCTGGGAAATATAAAGCATTGAAATGCAAAAATTATGATTTTTGTGCGGTATTTCTTACGAAATTTTGACTTTAAAAACTCAGGAAAAGTCGAAAAAAAATTATATCTTGTGTCCTCTATTTTTTTGTGTATAGGTGCGTTAATTTGGCATCCTTTAGGTATCGCTCATTAAAATCTATGGAGAGACTTGGAGCTAAAATTCGTTAACCAAACCTAAAATATGGAAAAAATGAACAAAAAATACCTTTTTGAAGGCGGCGGGCCCAACTGCCAATTGGGAACAAAGCAAACGAACAAGGGTTGTACATTTGGTACCTGATCGCGCTCCGCCTTCAAAAAGGTATTTTTTGTTCATTTTTTCCATATTTTAGGTTTGGTTAACGAATTTTAGCTCCAAAGTCTCTCCATAGATTTTAATGAGCGATACCTTAAAGGACGCCAAATTAACGCACCTATACACAAAAAAATAGAGGACACAAGATATAATTTTTTTTCGACTTTTCCTGAGTTTTTAAAGTCAAAATTTCGTAAGAATACCGCACAAAAATCATAATTTTTGCATTTCAATGCTTTATATTTCCCAGACGGTAAGCTGTAATCACAAAGTGTTTGGGCTTAACTTCTAGCTGTTTTAATTATCTTTTCAAAATAGCAAAGTTCTTTACAACCAGACGTAAAATATTAAAGTTATGTGAAAAAAACTATCGCTACCTCTGAAAAAAGCTAAAAAAAAAATACCAGATTTAAAAAATTTTGCAAAAAAAAGTTCTGCCATGGAAAAAAAAAAAAATATCATCAAACCATTTCTAAGCCCCAAATCTTTAATAAAAAGTTGGTTTTGTTCCTTGAGGAAAAATCGTGTTGAGTAGTGTTATTAGCTCAGCATCGACGTTAAAAGGAGGCCTGTCCTTAAATTCAGCTATTAAATGTAGAACAGATTCGCGGTAGGCAACTTTTGGCTAAATTCATTAGCGTGATGATAAGGTCAGGTCATGGTCGGGCAGATGCCAAAGTTTATATTTAGTAATAAACGTTTACCGCGACTTAATTTGCATATTCAAGACGGCAGCCACCGCCGTCCACCGGCCAATCACCGAGCCATGACAGCATACGCTTTGGTTAAGTGGGAGCGTAATTATATTTAATCCAATTAAACGACTGACAAGTTCAGGACGGCCAGCGGTCTGGCTTATTAACGGTGGTTTCATTATACTGGCTCTGAGCTGGTCACAACGGTGTCTTAATTCGATTTTGCAACCGCATCAGGACAGCTATGGCTATTTCGTAAATTTTCCGTTGAAATTAATTTAAGCATTTCATTGAGCGCGCCAAATGTTAAGCACGTATGAAACGTAACAGTATGTTAACGTGCATTCCGATTTGTGCTAGGTGGCAACATTTCGTTTGGTTATGGCACTAGTTAAAAAACACATTTTTATGCGTGTTTGTAATCATTATAGTGTGGCGTTGACTTAGTTTTTTTTAAATCACTTTATTTATTATTGTAAGTGTATGTTTTCGACCGCTAATCACGAAATGTTTGCGTCTACCCTCGCTGTTCAACATCGATAACAGCTGGAATCGCACAAGAGTATTGTTAAGGGGTACTATGGTGATAGGAGATTGACAATAATAAAACGACAAATGTGTCTGGCTTGTCTAGGCTTCTATCTACATAAATATCCCAACAAAATATGAACACAATCTCGAAGTTTGAACGTGCAAAGTCGAAATATAAGCAGCCATTGCATATATCGATAGTGCATTCGATAGCTGTCCGACCATCACTACCTCAGCGCCGACTTGTGTAATAAAAATAAAAAACAAAATTACTAAATTCAAGTAAAAACCCGTATTTTCTACGAATTTAGATCCACAACGAAGCACGTATGTCGTGTTACACTTGAGTGTAACACTATAGCAACGATATTTAACAAATGGTAAGGATTTATGGGACGATTCCAAGGGTCATCGTCCGGCCAAATGGCACAAGGCCATGCGCTAATCAAAATAACTTTGGTTCAATTTAATCTATGTGTATATTTTTTGGCAGTACGTAAACGTAAAGGTACCACTCTGCAGAGTTCGTACCTATCCATTAGCGAGTGTCTAAGACTGCTTATCAGATCATGCTGCCCGCCATGGTTTTTCGCCAAGGATTGCATCATGGCGCCTCGACACTGGAGCACGTACTGGGAGTGGGTGGCAGCAGTTTTGTCAACTGCCTGAATCGGTATGCCGCTGCCACCGGCTTCATTCGCATCTCCTTCCTGGACATCAAGCAGCGCCGGAACTGGGACGTGGCCCGACTCCGGCTGTATGCGGATGCCAAGAAACATTCGCTGCATCTTCGCACCCTACAAGGAAGGCATCTACTGCAAGGTGTCATCGACAAGCAGCGGGCCGAGTTCATTGAACGCAAGAATTTCCTTGTCGACGACATCAGAGAGGCACGCCACAAAGTGCAAGAGCGGGTCCGCGAGAAGATCGTTGAAATACGCGAGGAGCGTGAGAATATCATGACCATACCCAACATGCTCACAATCAGTCGTGCCATACTCTCCCCCTACATTGGTTATGTTATCGTTCAGGGCGACTTTACTTTCGGCATGAGTCTACTGGCCGTTGCCGGTGTCTCGGATCTGGTAAGGAATAAGCTGAAGAGTGCATTAAAATCGATATTAATCTTGTTACTGTTCTGTACAGTTGGATGGGCAGATTGCTCGACGTTGGCCCTCACAGGCCACCAAGTTTGGCTCCTTCTTGGATCCGATGGCCGACAAGCTGCTGATGGGTTCGTTGGTGATTTCGCTCTGCTACACCGATCTGATGCCCCTGTGGTTGGCGGGCATTGTTGTGTTTCGTGATGTGTTCCTATTAGCCGCTGGTTTTGTCATTCGCTACATAAGTCTGCCCCCTCCAGTGAGTGTCAGCTGGCATTGAAATGATGATGGATGATTGTGTAATTTTGTACGTTCTTTCAATAGAAAACCTTTTCGCGTTACTTCGATGCCACCCATGTGACGGCCCAATTGGAGCCAACTTTGCTCAGCAAAATCAACACCGGCGTGCAGTTGGCTACGATTGGCCTCAGTCTAGGCGCTCCCATATGGAATTATTTGGGTAAGCTCTTTACTGAACTTGAACTAGAGTTTCATAACCTGATATCTGCTGTTCCTTCTGTTCCTCCCCCGCAGACCATCCAGCCCTGCATGGCCTCTGGTATCTGACCGGACTGACAACCGCTGCCACTGCTCTTAGCTATGTTATGAACAGGCATAATACTTTTAAGATTATCCAAAAGAAGACGTAGTGCTGAGCATTTTCTTCTACATCAAGAGTACTACAAAAGTGTAGTATTTCCAATATCGCAATGATTAGTATGTAATGTGTTTTGTACATACATGAGTACTCCCGTAAAAGTAAATAAATATACATATTTTGTTAGTGGTCGTAATTCAAGTTAAATCAGCGATAGCAGAAACATCAATCTGTCGGTAGTTTTTTATACAAATTATGTACACATTTCACCAACAAAGACTGACCAAATTCTACCAGTTGAAGCCTTACTTTCGCTAGCGAAACCAGGGATGATTTTCCTATATGAAACGATAACGAAGTTAACTCAGTTTTTAGCTGGCGAAATTTCACGTCTGATTGCTCAGATAAAACAGATGAATAAATAAAAACATGTTAATTCCATTTCTTTCCTCCAAATATTAATGTATCCCTTCTCTGTTCATCGACTCCCAAGTGCTGGATGTAGTTTGGCCATAATTAGCCTGCCAAATTGACAGATCTGGCAATCCTATGAAATCTGATTAAAATTCTCAAGAAAAAAAGGAAAAAGGGGAGACACACTCATTTGCTGTCAACGCTGTTTGTTTGGTCAGCAGTCATACGATACGAGAACGATACGAAGCTCATCAACTTCTGCCTAAATTAGGAGCTGCAAATTTGAGGAGATCAATTTCGCACGCCAGAAACAGTTGAGTCAACAGAAATTAAGGGAAATTCATCAATAGCAATTCCTTACCCAATTCATACCCCTTTAGAACTTGGCGAGTTGAAGGCCCAAGCAAGATGGCAGCAAAGAACAAGAAGAAGGGCACCTACATCAGGCTGGCCGATCAGGACGAGCTCATCGAGTTGACGCATAATGTAGATCCTACATCATGGGTCGTGTGCCACATGTTTCGACCCAGAAACAAGCGATGCCGCCAATTGGAAAATCACCTAAGGATCCTGGCCGAAAAATATCCGGACACCACGTTTTGCGCTGTAAACGCGACGAAAGCTTCATTTCTTATGTTGCTCCTAGGCGTCTTACCCGAGATGGTTATATTGCAGGGAATGCGGGTGAGGGATACTATTTTTGGCTACACTGAACTACTAGATGGCGACGACTTCTCCATGGAGATGATCGAAAAGCGCATCGCTTTAAACGGGGCCATTGTGGAGTGTAAGGCCGATCTGAAGCCACCAGCAGATGTGAAGCCCAAGAAGAACAAGCGCCGTCCAAAGAAGAAGGGTGATGGCGACAACAAGAAAGACTCTAAACTGCAAAACTAACTGCGGTCCCACACAAACCCAAACACACATACAAAAATATCTAAGCCATCTTACAACCAGATAAACAAACCACAAGCGGAATGGAATATATAATAACTAAACCTTAAATCCGGTATTATTTATTAAATATTGCATTCCTAAAGACCCTGCTCATGTCTACATATACTTCATATATCGGTCTTAATTATATCTTATGGAATTACAATGAAATTGATTAACGATTATGTAAGCCCCCTTAAACTATTGTACTTTTTTGGTGGTCAAATTTCGGCGCGCATTGGCGCCATTGATATGGACGATATTTCCTACGACAATATTAGCGGAAATTAAATTATATGTAATGTATGTCTTGTCTGTCAGATACATACTATACAAAAATTAATAGAATCTTTAAAAAATTAAAGGTTTATGATGAACGGGGTTTTTTGGTCGGTTAAGTTCGTTTTTCCCTCGGTATATTTTGAAAATGAGAAGGTATATTTTGGTATACTTCAGAGGTTCCGTTACACTAGACAGCACCGACAAAACAAAATAATAAAAATGCAATATTAATGTTCCAATGCAGCTTGGAACAACAAATTTAGCATCAATTAAAGGAAATAAGGTATAAAAAAGCCCATACGCATAGAAGAAACTTGGTTGACCAGCAACAATGACGTCACATTTAGTCAACATTTACGTTTTGTGCCTTGGCCGCTTTTGTTTGAACCTATTATGTAAACAATCCAATTAAAAAGAGTTCTGAAAACTAAAAACAATCGTGAACAAAATTTATTGAGGAATTCGATAAAATTATTTGTTTAGGGCTCAGAGGGCCAACTAGCTAGTAATATGAAACGGAATATCAAAATCGAGGAATATCAACGCCTTATAGTGTCCGTCAGTATATATACGGTATATTTTGATAATGGCATGGTATATTTGGGTATATTTCTGTGGGTCAGCCGGTATATTTTATTAATAAATCTTGTCGGTCTGCCTGTCCTTCGGAAACTAGAGCTGTCAAACGATTGATCGTTGAGCCATCGATAGTTTTGAATGTTTTGAAAAAACAATCGATACTATCGTAATAGTATCGGGCTCAAATAATTATTAAAAAACCATTGAAACCTTTTAGGAACTGTCCATTGTAAAAATTAGATGCCACCTGTCGATTTATTTACAAATTTGTCTTCGTATTTTAGAGCAGCCAATCCAAACATATCAATAGCGCAACAACTGTAGCTCGATACTATCCTGATAGTCGCAAAACCATCGATAGTAGCGGATAGCAGCAAAACATCGATACTATCGATAGTGCCCTCAATGGTTTGACACCTCTATCTGTCTTTTCTTTTCCGGTCGCTGAACAGACCTGTAAGTTGTGTGAAAATAAAATCTGAAAAATCCATCAAAATAACAAACCAACCTTGAACAATAATAGTGAAAAGTGTTGAGGAACTGTTCAGAGCAATTGATAAGACAGCTATTGACATGCATATTTGCCAAATGAAGCAAAAGAAACCCTTGTCAGAAAGGGCAATCAAAACAAAAAGAAGACGTACCCGATGTTTAAAAAATGTACTTGTTAGTGCCAGGAATTAACATTTGATCAGTGAAAATGTATTATTTTAATAGCAATAAGTGATTTATCGACAATTTTGCTAACAATGTGTATTTTGCTCTTCCAATTCCATGTATGCGCGCCTCCTCCAACGACAACCAACAACAATGATTGGATATATGCAGCCGCCAAGATGAGGAAAATCATGAAGCAGGGCAAGATCGTAATCGTCCTTAGCGGACGTTACGCTGGCCGCAAGGCCATCATCGTCAAGACCTCCGACGATGGCACCCCGGAGAAACCCTTCGGTCATGCTCTGGTCGCCGGTATCGACAGGTACCCCCGCAAGGTGACCAAGAAGATGGGCAAGAACAAGTTGAAGAAGAAGTCCAAGATCAAGCCTTTCCTGAGGAGCCTGAACTACAACCATCTGATGCCCACCCGCTACACGGCGCACGACATCAGCTTCGAGAAACTGTCGCCCAAGGACCTGAAGGATCCCGTCAAGCGCAAGACACACCGTTTCCAGACCCGCGTCAAGTTCGAGTCCATCTACAAGGAGGGCAAGAACAAGTGGTTCTTCCAGAAGCTGCGTTTCTAAGCTGGAAACTAATGGGATGATGATGATGATTTATTGTCGTCGTTTTTTTAAGGTTAAATAAAAAAACAATTCAGATATAAATGACCGAAGTATGAAAAATGTGTTATTTTTGTGCGAGTGTGTACAGTGGCAACTATATTGAGAATGTGAAAGAGTTGTTCTAATGTGGCAACAGGAATAATGTTTCTACTGTCGTTGAAGATCTGTAACGTTCCTCCTACACGCTGGGATAGCTACGCGGTAGCTGTGGGAAAGGGGGCAGAGCATCCCCTACCGACGAAGAGGTGCAGCTATCTGGATACCTACGTCTTCATAGCCTCCTATGGCAATTTCATATCTTAGCAAAACGGAGGTTCCTGAAACTGAACAGGCGATGTTTTAAGCGAGCGGGGAATAGTTTTATAAATCGTATTGGGTGTGTTGAGTGAGAAACTAGAGTCCTTCACCACGAATTAGGTTTTAGTTGTATCCTTATGGAACTTCCATGATTCTGTTTTACTATCGTACAGTATAATGTGCGGCAATGTTCTTATGTTTTGATATAGAGACCAAATAGACCTCTTGAATTCCAAACTTCATATAATAATAATCCTATATATCCCATTCCAAAGGAAATCAACAAATAACATAGCTAACATTTTCATGGATATCGAGCACTCGTTTCTTGTCCATCCTTTGGTGTGTTAAAATAGATCGGTTTTAGTTGTATCCTTACGGACTTCCAATGGTTTCATTTTACTATCGCACTGTATGATGTTCCACAATGCTCGTATGTTTGATATTCTATTGACCAAGAGGTCTATTGAATCGAAACTATATCCTATATATACCATTCCATGAAATAAATCAGCATATAACAGCTAATATACGAGTATGCAATCCAGCCATTAAGTTTCATTTTTCTGTACTTTGGGGTATCTAAATACTTTCCCATCCCTTGCCATTCCCAAAAATTAAAAAACACATTACAGAAGTTGTCTTTGTTTACTTTTAAATTTTTCTAATAAATATTCGAACAGAATAATACATTTTGCTTGAATTTGTTTACGCAATATTACACAATCGTTTGCTTGGAAAATCTAATTTACAATTTAAATATCTCGACTATTGCTGGAAATCTTGGCTACCTACAATTTTTAAAGAGCGCAAGGTAGAGGCTGATAAAATCATGACACAATCACTCGAACGATTTTTTACTTAGGATAATGATTTAGTAAAATAAAAGAGAGAAGGGTTTAAATTAAAGTCGGGGCATTTGAACAGTGCAGAGACAGTGGATAGTGCCGTCAAAGAAAATCTGTGGAGTAGAATATCAAATGGCATTATTATGGGTACTTGTCCATGGGGATGCTGTGCTAAAACTAGAAATGTATTTAGAGTTTGTTGTATTACCTGAATTATCACACTTTTGACATCAAATGGGAACACACGAATGGACATTTAGCCGGAGGGGTACATAGTATTTTTGGATTTGGTTAAGCAGCGGAGACAAATTGACCTCAAACATAAATTAAACTGATTCTTTCGGGGGTTGGGGTGAGCTTCACATTAGACGCTGAATGCATTGGCTTAGGGGTAAAAGATGTCTCTTAAAACAGTTCTCTCAAATTGGCTTAGTTCTGTGTTAATATAATTTAGTTTGCTTTGTTGTTTTGTTTTAGTTTGTTTTGGTTTTGTTTTGGGTTTAGGTTGAGTTTGAGTTTCGGTAGTGCGATAGTGCCTATAATTGGTTGAAATAGTTTCCATGTGGCCTGCGAGCGGGTAAGCATTTTGGATTTCGGGTATGGAGGGAGTAGAGAAAATAAAATTATTTGTTAGATTTTGGATTTGCACAAGAGACAATTTTTGGGTTTCAAGCAGGATAAACCGTGCGTGGACGTAAACATACTACATACTTTTGGTGTGTGTTTGTGTGTGTATATACTGGTTGTGTGTGTTTGTTTGGTGACTACTGAAGGAACACTACTTTAAACAGAAATTAATTCAACAAAGCATTTTTGTCAACAGAAATTACACTACAGACTACAAATTAGTAAAGTTAGAGTTAGGATTAGGGTTTTGTGTGTGTGTTGTTGTGTTGTTTGGGTTAGGTACACAGTTGTTGTTGTTGGTAGGGGGTGTTAAAACAATAAAGTTGTACATATAACACTTACAGTTCTGTCTGGGAGTACAAATTAAAAAAATATAATACAATAATAGAGCATGAAATTATAATACAACATTTAAAGGCACGCGATATAGTGGATATTTGCTTATGGCAAAAAAACATTAAAGTACTCGATAAAAATAGGACAAGCGGATAGATGTGTGTTCTGAGTTCAACACTAAATACAGCACTTGGGTGAGAGCGCGATAAAAACATAATAAAGGCAAGTAGGAAACGCAGGGCGTTGATTTTACCAATTCACGCGCTTGGCACTCAAGATTTTGAGTATATTCTCAACAATATCGGTACTGGTGTGGTTGCCGCCCAGATCTGCAAGATATTCCAATTAAATATTAACAATTTTATGTAATTATTGGGGTGGGGAGGGACGCACCTGGCGTGCGGATGCCATCGTTGACAATGGTCTGGTAGGTGGCCTCGTAGATGACATTTCCATGCTCCTTGTGTCCGAGATGATTCAACATGTCAATGCTGGCATTGATCATGGCCACGGGATTGGCAATATTCTTGCCAGCAATGGCAGTGCCTGTGTTGCGGGTGCCCGGCTCAAAGACGGCGTACTGCAAACGAAATCAAATCACACACGTCAAATCGCAATGCCGTGGCAGGCTACATATAAGACTTACATGATCGCCGTAATTGCGGCCGGAAATGAGGCCAGCTCCGCCCATCAAGCCGCAGAGCACATTGGACACAATGGTGCCATACAAGTTGGTCATGTTCATCACATCGAACTGATGGGGCTTGGACACGGCCTGCATGCAGGTGTTGTCGATAATCATGTTGTCGTGCTCCAGCTCTGGATACTCCTTGTGCACACGATTGGCACACTCCAGAAATAGGCCGTCGGACAGCTTCATGATGTTGGCCTTGTGGATGGTGGTGACCTTCTTGCGGTTGTTCTGACGCGCATACTCGAAGGCATAGCGGGCCACACGCTCGGCATTCTCGACGGTGACCACCTTCATGCTCTCGACAAGGCCAGGCACCGACTCGTGCTCTAACATGGCATACTCACCATCGGTGTTCTGACGGATCAGAACAACGTCAATGTCCTGGTGGCGCGCCGGAATGCCGGGATAGGACTTGCAGTGGACAACGTTCACATAGAGATCCAGCTCATTACGGATGGCCACGTTGCGAGAGACATCGGACAGCTCCTGGGACTTGGTCTCAATGTTGCCCTTGATTGCCACACCGTTCCTCTTGATCGACATTATGGCATAGTCCAGATCATCGTTTCCCTCGGTACTGGGATCAATGTCGATTACCTCAAAATCAACCGGAGCGCCGCAGTAGCTGAAGATTTCCCTCACATATGTCATCAGCTCCGGGCCGATGCCACCGCCAGGGAGCATGGTGACAGCATGACGACCACCGTACTGGGCCGATGGGATATCTGTTCCACGCTGCACAAACGCATATACACAATATACAATCAATGCTATAACCTCACTTGTGCGCGGGTGTTAACACCTACCGTAACTTTCTTCTGCAGCGACGATTTGGTGTGGGCCACATCCTCGCTCTTCTCCTTGGTCACCAGCATGGGATAGCCCTGAAATGTGATTCGATTGAGATGATCAGTTCTGCTGCCCGTTTCATGGCCCCCACCACATTATGTAATTTGGCCAATTTTCAGCCAACGAAAACCTACGCGTGTCAGGAACGGCGTCTGGGTCTGCAGCAGTCTCTGTGTCAAGCGAAGGGCCATGATTGCGTTTCGTAGATTACTTTAGTGCTGCCGCAGCAAATTGTTTTGCAAATTACTAAAAAAATATCACGGCCAAGTGCACTTTAATATGCTGGCCAAAACGGTGCTGCTCTTCTTCTAGCCAAGAACAACCACAAACAGCTGTTTGCGCGGTGCTGCCAGAGCGCTGTCAGCATCAGTGCTGCTTCAGAGTCAAGCTATATTATTCGAGAACAATAATAGGCCAAAAATGTCTACAAACGCAAAATAAATAAGCTAAATATTAGTCTACCACTAAATGTATACCACAGATATAACAAGAATATTATTTTTATTGAATAAAGCGATCGTAATGCACTTTAAAAATATGCTAGATATAGCCTGAAATAAGCTAAAATGGCAACACTGTAGCGAAGCTCATTTCCCTGTTACGTTAACAACCAAAACCAAACCAATTTGTTTATTAATTTAAACAGAAAACCTGACAGCATGGTCTACGATTGGAGAACGCAATAAATAGTTTTAAACAATGGCAGCAGATCTGGCTCAAGATTCGGGCGCTCTCGCAGCGCACATCAGCCTGAAGGACGCGGGACCAAAGTTTTCATTTCTCCATGCTCTGATGGTACGTTGTAAGATTAAGAAGCTAAATATATTAATCATTGAATGACCTTCCACAGGCTGGTGGAGTGGCTGGGGTGGTGGTCGACATAGCTCTCTTTCCCATAGACACGGTTAAGACGCGACTCCAAAGTGAATTGGGCTTCTGGCGGGCCGGCGGATTTCGTGGTATCTACAAGGGCCTGGCACCGGCAGCCGCTGGCAGTGCACCCACAGCGGCGCTCTTCTTCTGCGCCTACGAGTGTGGCAAGCAGTTCTTCAGCTCCGTCACCAATACCAAAGATTCCCCTTATGTCCACATGGCGGCAGCATCCACAGCAGAAGTGGTAGGATAAACTGGGCACTGGGGAACGAACTAGACTTAAATTAAATGACTTTTTGTATCCCTAGCTGGCCTGTCTTATCCGCGTACCTGTGGAAATAGCCAAACAGCGATCCCAGGCCCAGCTGGGGCACAAGCAGCAGCAGTCGGCGTTCCAGATTCTGATGCGTGCCTATCGCACTGAAGGACTGCGTCGTGGTCTCTATCGTGGCTTTGGCTCGACCATCATGCGTGAAATTCCATTCAGCTTGATACAGTTCCCGCTGTGGGAGTACTTTAAGCGCCAGTGGACACCGATGACGGGCTACGAATCAACGCCATTAACTGTTGCGCTGTGCGGAGCAGTAGCCGGTGGCATTTCAGCTGGTCTTACTACCCCGCTGGATGTGGTCAAGACACGCATTATGCTAGCGGAACGAGAGAGTCTCACGCGACGTCGCAGCGCCCACAGCATTCTTCGTGGCATTTATCTGGAACGAGGCTTCAGCGGGTAACAAAATGATTATTGCCGTCTGGAATTTGTTTACAAATATTTAAGTATTATTTATTTCTCAGTCTGTTTGCTGGATTTGTGCCGCGCGTGCTGTGGATCACACTCGGTGGCGCATTCTTCTTTGGATTCTACGATCTAACGACGCGGCTGCTGGGCGCCACAAATACGGACCATTAAAATAGTGTTATTATTGTTATACCTAAGGTAGAGGCACATCGATTATTTTAGTATCTAAGCTGCGGGATGACAACCACCCACATGGACAATGTAGACAATAAACTGTATGGAAGTTTCTTTAGCAAGAGATTCGATTTATACGCCTAAGCAGGAGAGCTGCAGGTCCCTGGCGGACTGTGCTCTGGACGCTGTAAATAATAAAAGCAAGTACATTAGTTATTCCACACAGCCATATGCTCGGCCATACGTACGTTCTCAATATGCAGACGACCGGCCAGCAAGCTGGTGGCAGCATATTGTTCGCCAAACTCGTCCCCACCGGCCATGGGCACATCGGAATCTTCGTCCTCCACGTTAATGGGGATGTAGTCGATGCGGGGCGTCTTAATTCGTTTCAGGCAGGGACAGGAGCATTGGCAGCGACTACGTGACATGGCGTAAACCTGCAACACACAACCAAAATACATATGTTAGCGAGGGCGCACACTTGTTCAAACACTTGCGATAAGAAATGTAACGCACCAAAGCTGCCAAGATGAATATGCCCACCAGCGCGGCAATGGGCAGCCAAATATACTGGGCATCATCTGGGTGCACGAGATCCGAATCTGGCTTCACGTTGCTGGTCACAACCGACTCCAAACCCATTGCATTGCCTTTGTTTTGTGAATCGCCTGCTGCTGTATCAGAATCCACTACACAAGCCTAATACTATAAATTGTAGAACAAAATCTGTGTGTAAGCGGCTATCTCCAGGTTGCCACATCGTGGAAATATAGTTAATGTCATAGGGCTGCCAGATCACCGTATTCACTACGTATGTGGTAGCCCTGGCAGTTTGTCAAACCAAGTCGCCAGTGGCGTAATTCCCACAGCCGTTACGTTTGAATCGCATTTAGATTGAGTCATTATGTCAGGACGTTCACGTGGAATAGTAGCACCTAATAATTGAGGAAAATTAGGTGGTACCAATAGTAATAGTAATTAATAGTCACTAATAGTAATTACAGGAAAGGAAGCAGAAAAGAATTAGTGGTATATATCTACACCTATCTATCTCTATACTAATTTGTAGAAAAAACTTCATTTAAAAAAATATTCTCACTGCGACTAGTTGTGTGGGAGCAGCACAAATACAGAGATAGATGCAGATACAGACAGAAGGGAGGGAGCAAGAGAGCGTGAGCCTCGCCTCTGATGGCCGCCGCTGCCATCTTAACAAAGAATACCCATCGGTGTCGAAAACAAATGATTTTTTTGTAACGTAACGGGTTTTTTTTACCAGCAGAACCTCTTTTTGGCTGCTGGTCACAAAGGTGTGACTTTATTATTTTAGTTTCTCCTTTGGTTTGACTTTTGCATTTGCTTCTATAAAAGGAACAAACAACAAATCAGGATTAGGAGCTGAAACGTCATAAGTTTTGAAGCTCCATAAATTTGCACCTTTGAGGGCATGCTGCCAGATGTTTACGCTGCGCACTTGGCCATGCCCTACGAGTGCAGTTATTGCTAAAAGAATTTCAAAGGTCGCTGCTTGTGTGCCGCCGGAAGCCTCAAACACACAGATTCCCTTAAACTGCTTGCTCACCTTGAGCGGAAGCACGGCGTAAAGTTGAAGCTGCTGGAGCTGCCGATTCGCCCCAAGTTGGGGCCTAGCCAAGTCAAACAAAGCGCAAAGCAATACATGATTGGCCTTACAAATATCACATTGAATGTATTTCACGCTTACCTTTGGTTAACTTACACAAATACTGATGGTAGTACATAGATATAGATAGATATACATAGATACATATACATAAATGGATAGATTTTATCATAGACAAAATAAATGCAAGTACTGCACTCAATTTTCTCTATTTGATGATGGTATACATGGTTCAAAACTCCTCGCTGATAGGATCTTAGTGTCTATCTTCAGTTGGCCAATGTCAGGGCCAGCGGCATGGCCTTGGCAATTGTGGTGGACTCTTCCGGCTGCTGGGAGGAGCCCGTGGCCGTGCCAGTGGTGATGGTGCCCGCAATACCATTCGCAGTTTCGGCCCGCTTGCGTGATGTGATCTTCTTCCAGCCACGCAGGAAGATCTGATTGCGGTACTTGGGCGTGGTGAAGGTGTACAGCAGTGGATTCACGGCCGAGTTGAGGGGCAGCACAAAGACGACAAGCCAGGCATAGATATCGTCCGATATATGGTAGTTGAAGAACACCCAGATCTTCATGACGATGATGGGTACCCAGCACAGCACATCCGTCAGCACAATGAAGAAGAAACGCACCGCAAACTCGCAGTCCAGCAGGGACAGCGGTGTGGCACTTCGCGTCCGCCAAATGGATATCAGCAGTGCCGTATAGAGCAGGGCAATCATCACGAGCAGCAGCAGATTGACGCCCAGAAAGACAAATGCCGAATACTGCCATCCCACGGGAAAGGCCTCGTGTATGTGCAGGGGAAAGCAGGTGCCAGAGTGAGCGCCATAGAAGTGCTTACTGTTGGAACGCCAGAGCACCACAGGTGCAACAGCCAGGCCCACGCCCGTCAGCCAAATGCAGAACAGGGCGAAGCACATGACCCGCACACTGATGCTGCGATGTCCGCGAAAGGGATCCGCAATGAGCAGGAAGCGCTCCAGCGACATGAAGGCCAGGATTAGCATGGATACCTCCGACGAGCTGACTGCCAGAGTGCCAATGGCCACGCACTGCCACGAGCTGACCCAGTCCAGGACCACTCTGCAAGCGATAAATGTCTTGAAATACCTTAAACTTTCACAGAAAAAAGAGCCTCACTCACTTGTAGTATTCGTTCCTGTATCGATAGTCCTGAATGCCAATGGTTATCAAATAGAAGCCCATCAGCATGTCAGCCAAAGCCAAATTCCGTATGACCATGGTCACTGCCATGTTCTCGTCGCGATTGATGAAGCGCCCCCAGAGCACCAGCACATTGCCCGCTATGGTTAGCGTGGCCATCACCCAGGCAGAGTAGCGCAGCACCGGCTTGCTCAGCAGATCCTTGAAGGAGCTGACGCCGTCTGTCGAGGGCTTGCACATACGCACGCGGGGCGTCATGGAGCAGTAGAAGAAGCGATCGTAAATGATATACGTGAGATTTCGCATCCCATTGATGGCCGCAAAGTCAATGTGGTCGTAGCTGATGCCCGTCAGGTTTAGGAACGAGATGTTGAGGGACTGCAACAGGCTGCGATGGATGTGGAGCGGCATTTGGGCGAGGGACCTGCAATAAAAAGACAAACACCCCATCTCTGGGTATACAATTATAAGGTAAAATTATTCGCCTACTTACAGTGCCTCCAGTCGTGTGTTGTGCAGAAATGTTTCTCCAGATAATTCCTTAATGGGATTGCCGACAAGGCGGCTGTAAAATGAAATGCACGTCTTAGAATTTCAACATTCAACATTGCGTATACGACGCGTAAGCCGCGAATAATGGCCCCACACATTTCGACGCAGCGCTGATAAAGCAGCCCCCAAACCAAACCCCCCTCCGACGCAACGCTTTAAAACTTTCCAAAAAAAGATTATATTTTTTGAGTAATTTTTTGTTGTGTTGTGTTTGCGCTTTAAGATTGAGCAACAAGAGAGCTGTGAATGTCACATAATAAAGTCCCCGACGGGCAACATAATAGCGCAAAAACTCCTATTTAATAGCTGGATGGGGCGACTATATAAATCAGCGCACAAACATTGTCTATCAATCTGTGGGGCTGCAACTTTCTGGGGTTAAATGTGTTGTTGGCTTGCCACAGGAAAGAGCGCATCATTCATGACAGCCAGACGGGGCAGACAGGATATATGTGGCACTGTGGTGCCAGAAACCAAATAAAATGCATTTCAATATGCGAATGTACTGAGCTAAGCAGCTCACAAGACAATGCACAAGTGGCAGTTTGTGTGGTGTTTGGGTGTGTGGCTGAAGCATTCAAACTTATTATGATATTCATTTGTATGCGGATGCTAAATGGTTTTTCGCCTATTATGCCATAGCTCCACTGTGTCACGTCGCCGTGTGAAGTGCAGCAGCTGATGTTTATACTGGGGTGCTGGACATAGAGCTCTGTAGCTGATGTTGAGCTCCTCTGTGGCAGCTCCATTGCTTGCACTTGTCTGGTCAATCAATGCTCAAGCGCCAACTGTTAACAGTTTGTTTTTATGGATTGTCGCACAAAGACAAAAGCCAGAACACACACCCCAAGACCCCTGCCTGGCCCAACCAGAAGATTCCACCGATTGCTGGTAATTGCTGGCTGGCCATAAAGTTTCCCCGAGAGCATCCTTAAGCAAATATTTAACTCTAGCATAATGTGGGTAGGACACTCACATAATTTCGCATGTAAATGTGTAATTAATTATTGAGCGGCAGGCCTCTCGGCGCGTCATTGGTGCTGCTGCTGCGGTTCCAGGCATAAATATCACACTTAATAACTTCATAAACACTCGTACCAAAGGCAAAAACCAGACGTCGTGCACAATTAACATAATTCTGCGGCAGGGCAACAAGTTGCTGTTGTCCCCAAAATAAGCCTCCAGTAATTCCCATTGCTCATGGCCAAGCACATCCAGGGATGCGTACACACACGTGGCCCAGTGACCAGCGCCCCCACAAAAGTAGGCAAAAACAAATGCGTCAGCATCAAAGCACAGCACCCATGGCATGGTCGGAAGCACCCACAGTCCACAGTGGTGGTGGTGGTGTAATGGCAGAATGGGTTGGAGCGGAGCGGAGCGGTCAATGCGCATTTAAGAATATGGCAAATAAATGCCTGTAGTGGTGTTAGTGCGGTACGTGCAGGGTACGTGTAAAAGTGAGCGAAAAATATATCACAAATTATGGCAGGGGCTACAAGTGGTAAGACAGAAACGTAAATGCTCTTTCCATATTTATGTCCAGCTATCTTTCAATTTAAATGCGAAATAAAATCAACTCAGGTATCAGTCAGGGGGAATTATAGAGATGCTGCTACCTTCAGGGACTTTGCTTACCATTCAATGCATTTCCATGGCTCTTGCTTATTTTTAATCCCATTGTGAAATGCATCAAATCATTTTCAAGCACTTTGAATTAATGCCATTTGAATTTGAAAGGCTTTCAAAACGAAATTTTATTCCTAATAAATCAATGCACATAAAGAGAATGAACCTGCCGACATTTAAGATGCATTTAATGTGCATAAAAGATCGCAGTGAAAATGCAAATACGAGTATTTGCCCATTCAATGTACTCCACTTCACTCTCCCGCACAGATGGCAGAGCATGTTAAGCAAATGAAACCATTTACGCTTCTCCGGCAAATGACACGTTTCAATTGTGAAATTCTTTTGGGGCAATGTGCTGGACGAATTTACTCTGGCATTTGTTGCACTGTCTGTACCCCAAGTGGAGGAAGAGGACGGCAAAGGGAGGGGCTTATGTTGACCATAATTAACGTCACAGCAACAGCAGCAGCAGCAGCAGAGCAGCAACTTTGGCAGGACAATGAGTGCACGAGCGGAATGTCTTTAAGCCCAATGCGATGTCCAAAGCTTCTGTTCGGCTCCTCCATAATGACCTGTCAGTGGCTCAGTGTACAGTGTATACCCCGGACAGCAGGAATCAAATTAGTGCAGCGATTTCACAAATATTTTCGTTTGTTTTATGGCTTTCCGTGCCACCTCCTCGCTACCAAGTGTCCATCCCAGGGGGATAGATGCGAGCAAACAAAACAAATCAGCAGAAAATGCCAAAGAGAAGGAAGCGTTGCCC